TGTCTTCTCATTTGAACTTTTATTTAAAGTTCTTGTCAGTGTCGATCCTTCCTATGTACTTGCTAAAATTAATAGAGTGATGGGCTTCTATGATTTCTCTCTTGCAGTCTCTTCAACTCTTAGTTGCTCATTTTCTTTTTGCTCTTCTTTAAAATAAGGAAGAAACGTACATTCGTCCTCTTATGTTATCCAATCCCAATTATCTGTCATCAAACTCCACATCAAGAATAAATTGAGTTTTGTCAATGATGGAATTATAAAGCTTGTAAGCCTTATAACTTGAGTCATATCAAATGATCATGTACCTTTCACCTTTTCATCATGTTTTGTTCTTTTTTCATCTGTAATATGAGCATATGTGATGCTTCCAAACACTATAAGATGAGAGATACCAAGTCTCCTTTCACTCTATGCTTCTTGGGGGGTTTTTCATGTACACCTCTTCTAGGAGAGCAATTTGTTTAGTAGATTGCTCAACCAACCACCTTAGCCCAAAATTTTTTGGGCATTCTTTTACGTTTGAGCTTGCTTCGATCCATGTTGAGCATTGTTCTATTTTTTTTCTCTGCAACTCCATGTTTTTGGAGGGATCTTAGCACTGTTAAAGGATGAAGAATTCCATGATCTTCACAATTCCTTTGAAATTCATTGGATTTGAATTCTCCACTACAACTAGATCTAATGGTCTTGATGTTAAAATCACTTTCCATTTGAATAAGAGCTATAATCCTTTAAATTTTTGAAACACCTCTAATTTCTCCTTAAAAAAAACCAATGTTTTTCTCCAAAAATCATCAATAAATAATATAAAATATTTATTTTCACCAAAGAACATTGGTTTAATAGGGTCGCAAACATCGGTGTGTATAAGCTTAGGTGGCTTGGTTGCTCTTGAAGTTGAATCCTTTGGAAAGCTTTTGCGAGATTACTTTCAACATAAACATCCCTCGCAAGGTTCATTCAATTGATTATGTAAGGTAAACCTCTCACCATCTCCTTCTTTGATAGAAGTTCGAGACTACCAAAATTGAGATATTCGTATCATAGATGTCATAGGCATGATGAATCACTATAGCAAACTTTTAAACATTTTCACTTATCACATTGAATGTCAAGAAGAAATAATATATTTTTTAACATAGGCACCTTAGCAATCAAATTCATTATATGATCATTTAAGAAATGAATATTTTCTATTAAGTTAAAATCATATCATTTCTCTAATAACTAACCCAAACTCAAAATATTATTTTTTATACTGGTCGCATAGCAAACATTTGAGACGAATTGATGGCATGCATTCTTCAAGTGTATTTGAATTTTACCATTAACATCTACCGATATTTTTTATTCATCTCCAAAGAGATTTCCCTTATTGCATCATCAAGCTTCACGAACATGCTTCTTTCTCCTCACGTATGATTGCTTGCACCAGTGTCAAGAGACCACTTATTTGTTTGGTCTTTATCTTTGTCCTTGCATGATAACAATAAAGTCCATTCTTCTTCACTCTTACCTTCTATAAGAATGGCTTTCTCCTTCACATTTTCCAGAGATCTACATTGGCAGCATAATGGCCAAATTTTAGACAATTATAGCATTTATGGTGATTTTCGGGCTTTGGTATGGTGCTGCACCACAGTTTTTTCCTATTTGGTAAAACTACTTTTTGTGTTCATTCTAAACAATCTGCTGCTATAAGCTATATTTTGCCACCATATCTTGCCACCTTTGGTTGCTACCAGAAGCTATGGTCTGACTTTTTCAAAAAAAAAATATTGTAATAGCCACTGCAGCGTTTTGAACAAGAACTACTTCTTTGGTAGTCTTATAGCTACTTCTTCAAACAACTATCACTATCCCAAATAGACCCTTAATTTATGATTTGTCATATCTTGGTCGTGAGTTTTCTCTTCCATGATCTCTTGATGTTTGATGATTTTCACTTCTACCACCATTATTGAAATTATTCAAATTGTAATATTTGCTTCTTTCTTTTTCTTGTCCATGACCACGTCCTCTTTCTTTTTGGCTTATATTATTGTTAAAGCATTCTTCTTTCAAATTGAGTTGAAGAAGTTGTGTCATTTCTTCTTATTATTTTTATTCCTCTCTTGGTCTTCTTCATAAGCTTGCGAAGGGCCTAATTATTGCTCCACGCTCATTATTTCTAAATCTTTTATTTTCTTAATAGTTGTAACAATTTACTCAAAATTTAAATTAATAGATCAAAAGAAGTCTTTCTATAATTTTCTTACTTCACTTACCTCTTCACCATATCTTTTTAATTGATTCACAATAATGAGTACTCTAGAGAAATAATCTAAAATTAATTTAGATTCCTCCATGAATAAGAGCTCAAACTCACCTCTAATAGTTTGAAGGTGGATCTTTTTAACCTTCTCCACTCCTTTGTTGCAAGTTTGAAGCATCTCCCATGCTTCTTTTGGTGTGGTTGAACTTGCGACGTTCCCAAACCAATCTTCATCTACTACATGATAGATGAAATAGAGAGCATTCTTGTCCCTCTTTCTTGAATCTTTCAAAGCTTCTCTTTGAGTTTCAGATAGAGCAATATCATCTTACTCTCTATAACCCTTCTCGATGATATCCCACACATTTTGTGCTCCTAGTAGAGCCTTCATCTTGATACTCCAATTATCATAATTGGACTTGGCAAGTATAGAAACTTGGAAGGAAACTATTCCTCCATTTGTCATCGCTCTGATAATCTTTTGTTGGGGAATAACTAAATTTTTTATATGCTCAAATTCTCGAAGTACATATTTCAAACTCACACAAACTCAATTTAGAAGCTCACAAAACTTTCCTTGAGACTTGATTCATAACCCATAAAAATATGGAGTATTTATACAAATTTAGAAGTAATCTACAACACACATTGTTCAACAACAAAAATAGTCTCAACCCTTCGTTCTTCACCTACCATAACTATCACACCTACCACACACACATGCGTCACATATCTCACCTAAAATTGACTTTTCACCATATCAATTTATCAACAAATTTAATTATTCAAAACAAAGTTATTTATAAAATAAAACTAGTTTATTTCTAGCACATACAAGATAAGGTTCACATGTTCAAGTTAAATATTTGATCTTCAAGATACGAGTTACAGCCCTCCTTGAAAGTTTATCTTCGTAATGGACATTTTCTTGTCTTTATCTACTATTATTCTCATTCCTACATGCCTGTGATCAAATTAATGAAGCACTTTAGTTAATAAAGTGCTTAAAATAACATTATATCTTGACTACTAGAACTTGAGAAAAGAATTCATGATTTTATTTCAATAGATAGCTAATAAATCTTGCTATTAGTTGGTAATTTAAAATAATTTTCAAGTTTATTCAATGTTGGGCAGCACGTGAATAAAGCATATTAAATATGTGAGAACTAATACGTAACGTAAGCTTAATTTGTTTAATTAATTGTGGTTAGCTAGTTATGTTACAGATGTTTTCTTCTTGATGCAATAATTTCAATTTAGGTATTAACTATGGCATGTTCTTAACACCCGTAAGCAGTTATACGAATTTAGCGGCCACGAAGTTTCTTTCATCGACATTGATGAACAAAAAAGACTGCCATCTTTCAGCAAGTAAAAATTATAAATAAAAAAACAGAAGCGTTTTCATTTATTTTTTTTTTTTTTTGTGTTTATTTTTTGCTTTTCAAAAAGACAAGGATAGCTTAAAATTAAATTATTTAGAAACCGAAAAGTGCTATTATGATTAAAAAGGCTATTTAAGAAGTGAAAAAAATCTTATACAGAAATACATCTGAAGCTGTTTTTTTTATGGAGGCAAGAGAGTGCCGATTTTGCCAAATATTGCACCGTTCAAATATTAATTTTTTCGGTAAATAAATATCCGCAACCACTAGAGATCCTTATTTTTTTTTTCTTATTAAGGATGAAATTTTAATGTATATATTATTATGAAGTGATAAAATGTCTTATAATTTTTAAGAAGAATTACTGATGAGTATATATGATTGACTCCAATCAAATAAAAGGCCCCCATTAATTTCTTACAAGAAGTACCCAAGAGAAGAAACAACAAAGCCTAATCCCACCACGTGGGGTCGGCTACATGAATCTCTTTTCTCCATTATGTCCTATTTAGTGTCATATTTTCATTTAGTTCTAATAAATTAAGATCATTTTTTATTAAATAAGCCCAAGTCTTCCTAGGCCTACCTCTACCTTTCTTAACATAAGTCGAATCTAAAACATCTACTCTCCTAATTGGATCATCAGATGGTCGACGCTTAATGTGACCAAACCATCTAAGATGATTTTCTCTAATTTTGTTCGCCACAGGAGCTACACCAACTATCACTGATATAATCATTTCGCATTTTGTCTCTAAGTGTAAAGTCACTCATCCACCTAATCATTCTCATCTCGGTAACACTTAACTTAGTATTATGATTCTCTTTTAAAGGCCAACATTCAACGCCATAGAGCATTGCAAAGAAGTTAATGAACACATGAGCTAATGATCAGGCCATGAGATGTGAACTTTTAGGCTAAGGCTTCATTCATACTAGAAAGTCATATTTAAACACATACATGAATGTTAAAATAAGTGACGTTCACATGTTTGAAAATATGATTACATTGGATATTGAAATAAGTGATGAAATAAATTTCCATACAGTAGTTTATAAGGATATGTGGAATTTATAGTACCCATTTCACTGCTCCTCATAATGTTACAAGTAACAAAAGAAAAGATATTATGGGAGCAGCCAACTTTTCAAATGGAATGTCATAATCTAGGTTTATTGTTCAACCTTTTTTTTATGGCAGAAGGATAGTTTGACCACAGACCGGTCAAATTAAGAAGCTTTCAATTATTTTGCACCCGCATTCACAAAAAAGTCCATACAATGTAAGAAAATATGAAATAAAATTGGTCTAGAATAAACAAGTAATTTTACACGATACATATTACTTACCACATTCTGCCGCATTTGCGAATTTTATGAAAGAAGACCTGGAAGAAGATTTACCTTATAAGAGGCTGACGATGATGATGATGATGGAAATCTGTGACAAGAGAAGGGTGAGGCAGTATAACAGATCAGAAGCTCCAAGGATAAGATGGAGCAATGAACTGCACAACCGTTTTGTAAGGGCAGTGGAATCCCTTGGAGGACAAACCAGTAAGTTTGTTCTATCAATATAAATTAAGATATGTATATATATAAAAATATACATGCCATGATCATTATAATGAGATCTTATTCTTTTCATGAGCTGCACTTCAAAGCAATTCTCTCTCTCTCTCTCTCTCTCTTTCTCTGTCTTTGTGTGTGTGTGTGTGTGTCGATCTCTCTGCAAGATATTGCGAGAGCAGTTTGCAAGCATAAAGTTCACGTTGAAATGGAACTTGGCATGAATTTATGCAGCCATGGATGTTGGGATGATGAAAAGCAAATCATAGATTTGGAGACTAACCTCGGGAATCATTAGTTTAAGATTTGATAGCGGAGAAATTTAATGGATAGTACTTCCTTAAACTTTATTATAGCGGAGAAAGGAACTGCTTAATTCACTGCCATTAAAAAATTAAAAAAATTTCCAACGCCTCGGTGGAGCCATTCAATAAAAATTAAAAATCAATATTAACTTACGCCTTCGATGATGAGTAATTAAAGTCACAATAAATTTTGAAATCATATAATATTTACATAAATCTGGAAATTAAAATGATGGCAGCATGCACGACTAATTTTATGATGGTTACATATGTGGAGAACAAAAGGAAATTTTAGCATGCAGGTTCAGAATACCTGGCTAGCTAGCCTTTGTAGGGTTAAAATTATGTAGTTTAAATGAAAAAAAAATTTAAGGTAGATTTTTAGTTGATTTTTATTCAAATTTTTTATCTTTATATTAATCTATGCATGTATGTGTATGATGGTGTTCATGCGTCGTGACTGTAATTGATTTTATCTGCTTTTACACATTATTAATCTAACTTGTATTAAATATAGATAGATCTTAGAGCATCACTGCAATTAGCTATGAATTCCTTAAGAAATTACAGTTACTCGAGGATGAAGCAATCCGAACAGTAAAATAGCATGGTTGCATTTGTATGATTTTATCCTCTGATAATTTACTGTTCTTTTTGTTAGAAATCTTTCTTTTCCATAGCTTAAATTTTAATATTCCTTTGCTGATCCTTTTTTTTTTAATTATTTTGAATAAAACATACGCATACAGAAGCAACCCCAAAGCGCATTCTTCTATTAATGGGTGTAAATGGACTAAGCATATCTCATGTCAAAAGCCATCTTCAGGTACTTCATTAACTCAATCTGTTTCTAAATCAAAAACTTTGCTGCATGTCAATCATTAGGAGTAAATACATGTATTAATACTACTGATATCACGTTATCCTATCTGCATTTTATTTACAATCATTTACTTTAATATATATTTAGGGATATGGATGAGATGGAATTTTTCCACGAATATAATTTCTTAGGCTGCTTCGTACAATTTTTGCGTGCCACTAAGACATAAAGCATGCTCGTTTTCACCCACGGCATTAAAATTAAATAATATAGAATAGTTTAAGTTTTAATCATTACTAAACTAATAATCATATTTGCTAAGAAAACTTTACGATTAGAATACGTTTAAAACATGTTAGGAAAATATTCGTTTATCCACGTGAAAATAAATTTTAACACGGGAGAGGGAGATTGAGGTAATGACACGGCAATAGCAGTGACAGCAAAGATCAATTTGCTTTAAAACGCAAATGTTTGCAGGAAAAAAAAAAAACTATTTCCACTTTTTTTTTCAATGATAAAAAAAATATGATTAGCTCTCTCATCATGTGTTCTCCAATCAAATTATTTAATCTTTTCTGACTATTGGAAAAATGCACATTAAATATCAGTTCTTTTTCAGGACTCTAAAGTAAATCATAAAATTTGTTTCATGTTATCAAAATAAAGCCATAAAAAATTATTCCTGAAAATGCATGAAATTTAAAAGTACAGTATCTTAAGAACTTTGAAGTAGACAGACAGTTTTAAAATTCACATAAAAGTAAAAAAATAAAAATATTCTTGAATTTTATAGCTAATAAATGCATCAGAGTAAAAGTAGTAGGTGGTTTGTGCTTTTCAAGGCTTTTTCTTTGGGGTTGAAAATGTCTTTGACTATTTTTATATGATTAGGAGAAATTTTCTTAGCGATTGCCCTTTGATCTCAACAGTCTATGAAGAAGCAATATAGACAATGATTTGATGCAGTTTGTGGCTTTCACACCTCTGAAAGCGAGATTTTAACTGTTACAGAATCACAGAAAAGAATGACTGACAATATTTTAATAAGCATATGACTGAAGAAATGTTAGCTCCTCTCTTATGTTGTGTCTGTGTGTGTAGATGTAAGCATGTACATTATGTTTATGACAAACTGCTTTTTGACATTAACATATTTTCTTTTGTGAAAATATGTGATTAACTTATTAATATAAAAATTCCCAATCATTTTATGTTGTTTTAGCGAGGGATGCCACAAAACATAAAATTTACGAACAATAAATAAAATTGCTTATTTTCATTATTCAACTTATTAATGAGGTAAATTGAATAAGTACCAACCCTATTACCGCTAGCTTAATATATATAAGTTCGATGTTTGCCATGGTTTTACTGTTAAACATGTTGGTTATAGTCTAAAATTATGAATGCAACATGTTTTGAACTTTATGACACTAAAACGATATGATTTGTACTTGGGAAAGTGATCATAAATGTTTAATCAAGCAACGAATTTAAGAAAATTTAGATTCAGTCATTACCGGCGCTTTAATTTTGACGGAGTTAAAATACTATTTGAAGTATTATATGGAAGCAATACAAGTAAAATTACACTGTTATAAAATGAACATAGTAAACCTATAGTTATTTGAGCGCACAAGCTAATTTCCATGTAAGGGACAAGATCAAGTGAATTCATCTACATACATAAGAAAAATCTTAGTCAGGTTATAGACCTATGAAGTGGCTATGAATCTTTAGTTAATTCATATGGCAATTTAAGAAAATAGCCTTAGCAAAGTAAGTGATTGTATCAAGCCTTTTGCTGACTATATTGATTAATTTGAATAACTTTGGTAGTTAATCATATTTCCTCGCAACATCTTTTATGTGATAAATTAATCTACTTGCCAACTTGACTTAAAAATACCATATTGACGTAGGCTGACAATCATAAAAATTCACATAGCCAATATTTAGTTCCTAAACTATTTTCTTTATTCAAAGATTCTAATAAGAGGATCGATGAATAAAAAATTCATCTTCTTTAGTTGTACTTTTACTGTGACTTATTATGCAATGTAGTAGTTTTGATAATCAATAAAATCACGAGAAATTTAAAAATAGTTCATAATCTTTTTGGTAAATGTATCTTCTTAAATTTTCTATTTTAAGTTATTATGAATATCAAGAAATATGCCAACAAAATGTTCTTACTAAAGTGTTAACAGGAGAATAAAAAGCAAAAAGTTTTCTGATACATTTTATTACGCTTCCTTCTCAACAATGATTAAAAAGAAGAAACTAAAAAGGCTAATACAAATAAAAAAAGGTGATGTTGTAGAGTTAACCACTATGAGGAAGGTTCTTTAAATGAATCATTCACTTAAATATAGTAAGAACTACTCCTTTTTGCCTAAAAATTATTTGGTGAATATGAAAGATAAGAACTTGATGTTATTTCAATTCTGCCAATTGAATGGTTAACTTATTAAAATGAGCATGGCATAGATTTTTTTAATGTCCAAAAAGTGGAATGAGATGACCATTCTATTGTTTCACATTTTTTAGAGATGAGAGAGTAATCAAGCATCAAATCTGTTGAGAGTTGAGAAAATTCACTTGACCTAAAGTTGTTTCTTATAAAATAGAATCGATAACCCCGATGTAATCATCAAGATTGTTAAGCTACAGATAAATGAATTAAGAGACAATGTCTTAATAAAATTATTTTAACTCCTTAACTGAGTAATTTGTTAGAGATTTTGAGTTGTTATCTTGTAAATAATAATTCATCATCGAATTATCTCAAAAGATAGTAATTTCTTGCTCATGTTATGAAAACACCATTATCAACACCTTTTCTTAGACTAAGTACTTATTGACTTCTTTAAGAAATCCTTCTACAAGCTAATTGTTGCCCTTACAATGAAAAAAATTAAAAATTTTATTAACAACATGCACGTTCTCTTAAAAAATTATTTCAATAAAATATTTTTTATCAGTTTAACTTTTTGATAATATTTAATCAATTTGATCTTTGAAAATTTGGCTCTATAAAATGAAAGTTGCTATGATGTGAGTCTTTTCAAATCCCCACATAATCAAGCATTGGTTATTGAAATGTTTCATAAATGGCTATAAATATATCGCCTTCGATTTTACATCAAGATGCTTTAGCTTCCAGGATTTTTTTTTCTATAAATTAGCCCGAAGTCCTTCATCAATTAATATTTATGCTCTCTCTTTCTCTCTCTCTCTCTCTCACACACACACAGATATCATTCTTTCATGACTTCGATATGATTTTGTTAAACTTCCATGCAATTGTGAATGTTTCTATTGCTTCCCTAGAATATCATATGTGTGAGTGTGTTTGTGTGTGTGCATGTGCTTGAGGTGTGTGTGTGCACGCGCTCGCATGTATGTTTTTGTGAGTTAGTCAATGGTTTTCTCGTTATCATTAAATCATGAATTTAACTATTATATTGATGGTGACATAAGTTTCCAAAAATATTGCTAATTTCCTCATGAATTTTTGTGTCATAACATTTTTTTTATTAAACATGAAATATGTCATCAAAATTAACATAATTCTTTCATAATCTTCGTGATTTATATTTTATAAATAGCTTATTTTGGAAAATTTTTTTGAATTAGTCAATGTTTGCTTTTCATTATATATTCTTAATGTTTTTGGGAAGAATCTTCCTCTACTACCTAGGACAAGTAAAAAAGGCCATCTTTAATGACTTAATGTCATTTTAAAGAGAATTGCCAACTTTCTTTCGTTAAATAGGAGCTTAACTATTTTAACTAATGAAGAAGAAGAAGTAAAGAAAAAGGAAGTTAGGTTGAATTTAAAGTAAGATGTTGTTAATACATAATTTTTTGTTTTAATTATAGGAATCATTATGTATATATGACAAGTCACCCAAAAAATGTTAATAAAAAATTTAAAAAGAGTTATTGATTTCCCATCACCATCAATACTTTGCATCAAGTTTTAAAAATAGTAGGAGTTAACTATTTATTATAAAGTAATATTAAGGGATTATAAGCTCTAGTGTGGTTCATCCATTGCTTAAAAATAGACTAAAGTCAACAAATCTTGATCTTTTACCTATAATGTTTTAAAGGCTCTACACAAACATTAAAGAAGCTGATGATTTACACAACTATAGCATAATGATGTTGATATTATTTGACAAAGTTCATTTCAAATTCCAACAACAATAAGAAATTAGTTAAAAAGAATATTGATTTAAGAAGAAAGTTTTGTCACTTTTATAAGACTTATTACTGAATTCAAGGTTCAACATTATTTATTGAATGTTTAACAAAACAACACTAAAATTATAAAAAGAATTAATAAAGCAGATAAATGCTAACTTATAGAGCTTCTTTAATGAACAAATATTTGCCGAATTTACATATATGGAATTTCAATGTTATCGCTAACCTAGAATCTTACTATCCCTTATTTGAACAATTTAAAAAAAAATAAATTACCTCTTGAAGCAATGAATATTGTGTCAAAAGTGTCCTCTAAGAAAAAACATTATAAAGCATAAGTCAAGTTAAATTATTAATTCTTAATTTTTTTGGCATGATTAATTTTTTAAATTTGCATGGGTATAAAGATGAGATCAACGATGAATTATCTCTCTTTTATATTTTTTTAGCAATTATGATATTGTTAACTAACTTTATTAAAACTTGTTTTTTTTCTATGTCAATGTTTTGAATTCATTGAACGATAAAGAACCAGGGACTTAGGTAGGTTAGGGTTTATTTGAATTTACTCAAGTTGACTTAGGCTGAACTAGATAAATTGGGGTTTGATTTGGGTTGACCTAGGTTGAATTGGGTTTACCAGAGTAGGTTAAGCTTTGGTTTGGGTTAACTCTGGTTGAACTGGATAGTTTAGGGTTTGATTTGGATTGACCCGGGTTGACCTAGTTAGATTAGGGTTTTATTTAGGTTGACCCGATTTAACTTGGGTTAACCCCTATAGATTACGTTTTGGTTTGAATCAGATGGGTTGGAGTTGATTTGGGTTGATCTGGGTTGACATATGATCCAACCCGAACCTGACCAAAACTAGATTCAACCTAGCTTAGCCTAACCTAACCCAAACATAATCCAAGCCTAATTTAATGCAGACCTAACCCAACCTAGACCTGACTTGACCTAGTTAGATTTGAGTTAGGTTGGATGAGCTATGGGTTTGATCAGACCTCGATTAGGTTTGGGTTATGTTAGGCCAGACCTGAGCTAGGTTAGGTCTAGGTTGGGTTAGAGATTGGTTGTAAAGACTTGGATTAGGTTTGGTTTAGGCTAGGCTTGACATACGCTAGGTCGGTCTAAGTTGGGTCAGTTCTGGGTTGCGTCAGATCTAGATTAAGTTTGCGTTAGGTGAGGCTAGATTTGAGCTAGGTCGAATCTATTTTAGGTCTTGTCTGATTTAGAACAGACCTGATTTTAGTTTTGGTTAGGTTAGGATGAGTCAAATTTGGGTTGGTTCAGACCTGGGTTAGGTTTAAGGTTTAGGTTTGGCTGAGTCAAGTCTGGGTTGGGTCAAACTGGGTTAAATTTAGGGTTTGTTAGATTGGGTTAGATCTGGGTTAGGTGAAACCTAAGTTAGGTTTTGGTTAGGTTTAGGATTTGGGTGAAACCATTTTAGGAATTAGGATTAGGTCGGTTTGGGTCAACTTGAGTTGAACCCAAACCCAGACCTAATCCAAAGTTATTGAGTTAACCTAACCTACTCTTAAACTTAAAACACTTAAACTTAAACTTAATAATATTTAAATATAGTAAAAAGACCTAAAAAAAGGCTACTGATTGAAGGAGGAGAAGGTTTGTTGAAGAGAACAGGATGAAGACACTTCAACGTTGCAACTTGCACTGCTATGTGCCCTCTGCACTGTAATGTGAATTACACTCTACAATCTCTTCTAGATGAGGCATGAACAACCACTTTTTATAGGCGGTGGTGGCTGCCTTGAGCCATTGATAAAATGAGAAACAAAGGTCATGGATTACTCTGGCAGTTTTCGTAATCATGGATTGTTGTCTGTTGTTCTGAATTGTTCGATTGAATGGATAGTCATGAGGCTGATCCATAAATGAAGTTCATTGATTAGTGACACAATCGAATGAGAAATGAAAGAAGTGGTGTCCACACCAGACCAGGAAAATGGTCAGGTGACATTTCCCTTAAGTTTAAAAGTACAGTGACCTTTCTGGAAGTTCCATTTAACTCTGGAAGGTGCATACCACAAAAAAATTAGATTGATAATGTCTACTAGGCCAAGGAGGTCGATTAGCACCAAATGGCACGTCGTTTGTGCTATGGTGGTCGGTCAAACCCAAAACAACATGCACAATATGCATCATGAAAGCATGCTTCATGATAGAGCATACAATGCAATGCAATGAACGTACATGATAAGAGTCCACATTCATTCTAGAGTACTCACATAGGATCCTAGGTTTAGAAGTTTGCATAATCGCCTCCGTCTTTGGCAAAGTGTGTGGGGAATTTTTCCCTTCTGATTTCTCGAAGAGAAGCTCTCCACGAATTATAGTATGGACTAGCTACAAAAAATTTTCCATTCTACAATTCTCAATAACTTTGTAAAATAGGCTAGCTAAAAAGCTTTTTACATTCTATAAAATACAAATAGCTAAACATATCCAAGAAAGTTTGGAAACACCAAAGCTATGGGAAATTTGGATTCCAACTGCTTAGGTTTAGGTCTAAGGGTTTTGAAAGGGAAATATCTCAGATTCATTAGGGATTTGTTCATGAAAGCTTTCCAAAATTGAGGGCTTTCTCTAGGAAAGCAAACCTAATCCTAACATTCTTCAACAAAACCTAGGGTTGCCTAGAAAAGAAAGTGCAAGAGTTTTACGAGATCTCAATAACGTGCTAGTTGCGGGCACATTCTCCTTCCTCATGCGAAGCCCTCTTTGATGTTTCTTCAAAGGGATGAAGTTCTCCTTTCTGTAGGAGAGATGATGAGGCTTATAACTCCAAACTCCCTCCCTAATGTAAGGAAGATGTTCTCCTTGTCGTGGGAGAGATGGTTGAGGTCACCGGAAGCCTTCTCTCAAGTCGAGATGAAGCTCTCAATACCAAGGAAAGAATGTCTTAACCACCAAAGATCCCCCTCAATTTTTTCTTCAAAAAGCTTATATGAGGACAGTCTCTCATAAACGCTTCTTAGTTTTTGAAATGAGAAAGAATGAGGAAGAAAAAAAATGAAGGAAGTTGAAAAGGATGCAGAGATTTAGGGATCTCTTCAAGGGCCTTCTTTGACTCCTAGAAGTTCTTTAAGCTTTTTCTTTGATACTCATTCTTGTTGCACACTAGAAGTTCTTCAGTTGTATATTTTTCCACCACATCTTCTCTTGATGTAATGAAGGAAGGATGGAAGAAGAAACCTTCCTAGCAAGCAATATATGAAGGAAGAATGGAAGAAGAAGGATGAAGGCTTCTTCCTTAGCTCTCCAAGTGTTCCTCAGCTCAAGTAAGCCCTCTCTAGATGAATGAACTCATCTCCCCTTGCTTTTTTTATTGGCACTTTACACCACATGGAGCAAGGTAAATAGGAGTGAAAAGTCCCACCCAATCATCAAGTTATGGCCACTATACACATGGCATGGTGTGAGTGGCCATTTGGAATGTGGATGCCACATGGAGCATCCTTATTTGACCTTTTAAATACATCTGGCCAATTTTCTAGCCGCCAATGAGTGGGGAGTCAAAAATTCAATAATTTTGGCTATGGAAGTTGTTGGCTTAGCATGACCACACCCGAACTTAGCTTAATCACGCTAGACCAAAAGGGCTTAAGCGCTCATTAGCTGAAGGTCGGCATGACCACGCCTGAAAATGGCATTTTCACATCAGTGTCCTGGTGGGTTCATGCTACATCAATGGTGTAATTACACTGTGCTCTCTTTCTTGAGTATGGAAATGTGTCATTTTGGCGTCACCTTGCCAGAACTGGGCATTGTTACGTTAGTTCAAAATTAGGGTTAGGTACTCAGAGCGTGGCTGAGGTCCAAGACGAGTTCCCTTGTCCTTGGAAGGTCATGAATAGATAGAAAATTATCTCTTTCCATCGTGGAATGCCCACAGATGCGCCGTAACAACATAATAGCCACTCGAAAAGACGATCTTCCCCTGGCGATGCAAAATGGTATGAAACCCTAATTTTCACCTGATAGTGTCCGCAAGTGGGTCTTGTGACTCCCTTTGGCCATAAACAAGTTCAAATTGATGGGATATGGTCTCTAAACATCAAAATGGGTGTTAAGCATGTCTCGAGCTAGAGCCAACCCCATCCCTTAGTGAATTTACCCGTGTACGGCACCTGATTCCTTGCTCATGGCACATACCAGGAGTGCTTCAGGATAGTATGAATAGAAAACAAGTCATCTTGAGTCATTCAATTGGATATCCTATAAACGTGACATCAAAAATTGATGCTAACAGTTAAGATGAAAAAGTTTACTTCATTTTTTACTTTTGTGTGATGGAAATCTTTTAAAAAATCTTTATGCAAAAAATTTGTAATGATGATGATGTGAGTTTATAAAGTTTTGTTTTACATGAGATCAAATAAAACAAGAAATATTTTTTACTTTTATTTTTTTCTAAATTCAAAGAGATTTTTTGAAATAATTAGTGATGAGACTTCCATTTGTTTGAGTTACGTAACTTTGATGAAGTAAAATTTTTCCTATTACTCCGTTTCTTCACTCACATTTAAATGTTTCATTACTTTATTGATTGCCTTAAGCATGTCCAAATTTGTTTATGGGTGACACCAAAATCTTAAAAATAAAAACAAATCAAGGTAAAGGAAATGTAAAAGAAAGAGAAAGAATATTATGAATGTGAGCATTCACTAGATTTTACATAATGTAAGACTTAAGAAATGATTTGAGTTGTTGATTTCTTTCTTATTTGCATGCCTTCTTTTCCTTTTCTTTTCTATCTTGTCGTGTGTCCTCTAGAAGTTGGATAAAGACAAGCTTATATTCCTACTTTATTGAGCCAATTCATATACAACTACTAAAGCACTGTAATGTTGGAAGAAAGAATTTCAACAAAAATCTGTATAGCATGTGCTTTAATGCATGTATGGAATGCAATGAAAAAATAAAAGAAGAAAGCTCAATTCAAATAGCTACAAATTTACTATCAAGCTACAAATTCTAATTAAGTATATTTATTTTTTACTTTCTTCATTTCTCCTTCAATCCAAACAATGCTTGCTTATGATTAATTTAGCTCCTATGAAAGCACATTTAACATTTTCAACTGCTACAAATGTCAGATGTACAGATCCATGAGCAACAACAATTCAGACCTTAGTAACTACCAGTATTCCGAAGACCAGTGCAAGCAAAACATATCTCAATGTAATCACAATTTTCTTGAGGACAAATGCAAGAAATCCACTTCAAACTCAAAAGTTTGCAGGTAATATTCATATATAATTCACCAAAAATTAGAGAAAATTATTTTCATTATTCAGATATCATTATTTCATAATCTTTCGTTTTATATTTGAGAGTTTTTTTGGTCAACATATTTTCTTATATATAATTTTCTTGATTAAATTTGATCATTAGTCGATTTCTGTCGAGTTGTGTTTTGACATACAGTGCGCTATGCAGCTCAGCTTCAAATGATGTGCAGATGGAGGAAGCAATTTCGAAGTTTGGTGATCGCAGACAGTTCAGAGAAGGCAGCAAACGGAATAAGGTTGGCTGCTTTTCCAAACTTTGCATTGCATGTGCTTGCCATAAATGTGGTGCAAGTAAAACTTGTCTCATGTAACAAGTCAATAATAGTGGACAGCTTTCCGACATAATATAAATCAACGCATGTCAGGACATCACAATTTTTCAAACTTAATTAAATGTACGCATTGAATTGATGACACATTTTGAAAAAAAGAAAAAAAAAAAGAGAAAATACTAGAGTTTAGAAAAATATGTATAATGGATGGAGCAAAATATTAGGTTTTTAAGGTGATACCGTCCTCTTTTATTTTGGTGATGAAAGCGAGATTGCCAAGTAAATGTGTGTAGCCTTACAATGATCCGTCTTTTTAACTTTCTTTATTGGATTAAAGCTAAAATTTAGTAAATATTAAAAATTTCTCCTTCATTATTTGAGCTTGCTTTTCTTTACCTGTATTTGGATACTGCCAAATATCATGCAAGCCTCTTAATTATCAATTCACTGTGGATATTGGCAAGCCTCATAACTTTACCAATTAAGGCCACAAAGTGTATCCATATCTGTTCAGTGAGGCATGCCCAAGAATCAAAGTAGTAGGGGTCAGGGAAGAGATAAATTGAGGGAGGCAAAGAGATAAAAAATGAAATAAAAGAGCACATACAACTTGCCCCTTTTGGGTGAACTGTGGTATTTCGAGACTTTGTAACTCATTTTACATATAAAAAATAGATATTACAAAGGAAGAGAGAGAGAGAGTATCTCTCTAAAGGGTATGGATCTAGGTAAAAGAGCAATAAAAACTCTATTTTACATGGATTGGAGCCCGTATTTATAGAGGATAGAGGGTTTATATATATGTCTCTGCTTTAATTTGACATTGTTGGATATTCGGTCGGCGGGTCATTGAGTCGGTCAACCAAACTGGCGTCGGTCTGCCATGTTTTGCTTGGGTGTTGGGCAGTTTTCACCATAGGATGCTAGTCGGTTCTGATTGTTCTACCCGGCCGACCCCCCTGACTAGTTGGCTAGCACATTTCTTGGCCATCTTTAATGGGTGTGTTGAGAGAGGGTATAGTAATATTTATGAGGTTATACGAGGATATTAGTGCCAAAATGGGCAATGTGCCAAAATTCTCTCCGACTATTTGTTTATACAAGTGTCAAAATAGTTCCTGACTATTTAAAAATTGAGCTTTAATAAGTTTTCATTGTGACCATTTCAGCTTCAATTAACAAAATATGATTTTTTTTTTTGACACTTTTACAAACTCCATGACTACCCTGATAAGTGAGGGACTATTTTGGCACTTCACTCTTATAAAACCCTTCCAAATACTTATTTTTACTATTTTTTTAAAAATAATTTGTTTTAAAAAAACTTAAATATTAAGAATATACTAGAAAAATATATTTAGAAAATAAAACATAAAATAAGTACTCTTAGAATAAATACATTTAGAATAAAACATAAATATTGTATTCTTTTTCAAAAAATATATAACAAAAATTTCATGATATAGTAGAAGCAAATTAACTATCGTATAGCCATCACTTAAAAATTAAATCTCCTATAAAATTTTTAAGAGTTGGTATAAATAAAAATTAATTGATAGGAAAAAAAAAAAAGATACACTCCTTGTTTAACTTTTTTTTGCAATTACATATTTCCTGCAGATTATTCCTCAGACGATGTCTCCATACGAGGAATTATCATTAAGAGATCTGGATTGCAAACTAACACTGTCATCATTCGACTATCAGAAACAAATAGTTAGTGAAGAAGGAAGAGATGGAAGTTCTAGCACAGAGTTGGATGCCTTCGAAGCGGTCCCTGTATTGCCAAACTCCATCCATGTTGATTCCAAAGCCTTTAAATATCTACCAGAAGAGAATGAGATAAATCTTGACCTCACAATTTCATCAAAATCATATAATTCTTGATTTTTGATAGAGCACATATTTACATAATGTAATGCAATATAATCTCATTCATAGCGCAATAAATTTTTGATGTGTTGGCAGTGATGTTAAATAAAAAAATTGATGCAATATAAAAACTTCTGCATTTTTTTTAAAATTTTTTCTCTACTTTTCCCTTTCTCTATTTGTCTTAGTGCAAACTGCCAACATGTCGAAATTTTATTTGGACTGCATGAGATTACATAGCATTCTCATTTATGTACTGATATGATAAACTTCCACATCCCACGGCAATGATGGATAAAAAACGGTGCATCAACATTTGAGATTTGTGCACATGGTTTGATGTAGAATAAAAAGTAGACTCATGTATGTGTAAATAGATATCTCCAGGTTTATAATTATTTGTATGATTATGACTAAATTTTTTGTTAAGATAATTTTTGTAGCTGGTTTAATTATATCCGTTAAATATATGGATGTACAACCTTTTGAAATATCAAATTTATTTCATTTCTTCTATCTATGCCTGATAAAAGAGCGTTTGAATGGAGAATAAAAAGAAAATAAAATAAATTTAAGAAATTAGTTGCTTAATTAATATTTTATTAACAACTGGAACGAATGTGTCCAGATATTCATTGATAATGATGTCGGCTGAGCATTGTAGCTTAAATTATGCCATGATTTGTCGAGTAAGGACCATATGAGCTTAGAAAGCAAGCATTAGACAAGCGAGATGAAGGGAATTCATCAATAAAATATTTTTGATAATGTTAAGAAAATTGGATTTTTTTTTCGGTTTTTTCTTGTAATTTTGAGCCCGTACAGTTAATCATCTTGAGCCTTTTAATAGGGTTCATTGCAATTGATAGGTTTTCATGGTGATTGAAAAACCTTTACCTGGCGAAATTTATTCTTTGACTGTAGAATCACTTTATTTTGATTGCTTTTTCTCATGTAAGGGCTATTTGACATGATAAAAATAGTTCTTTTCACATTGGTCTCCTTGTTTGGTAATACATTGCACATAAATGCCCCTATTGTTAGCTCTTTTGGACTCAATTGGACTCAATTGTAAGAGTCATGTTGGAGGTTGACAACCCCAAGCCATTTGTAGCTCCATCTAATGTTGTTCCAAGAACCATGGGAACTATTAAAGAATAGTCTTGTGAAAGACCTCTCAATTTTGTCGTCATTGTTAGTCATTTATTCATGGATACCAATGTACTTCATTTAGTAAATTATCTTATTAGTGCAATCTGATGTTTTCTTTCAAGGGTTTACCACAAATATAGTAGCTTCCATTTATTCTCTTATTTTGTTCCTTTAGAGCAAATGCTTCAAGATAGGTATGGCCTACTACAACTTGAGTTAGGGGAGAAGATTTCCAAGATAAAAATAGCACAAAGAAAATGATTGCAAAGTTGATGATATATCTAATAAAGATTTAATGATTCAAGTGGCTTAGTTTGTCATTCACCTTTGTCTACGTTGAATAAGTAAATGACTTAAACAAAACAACATAAAAATAGTTAAGAATTTCAAGCCAATTATAAATGACTCATATATTAGGCGTAAACTTTATGAAAGAGTTAATTTCAAGGTTGTTGTTGGCTAGCATATGACTAAGGTATTGACCGATGATATGTTATCAACAAACTTCGATCATCCTTTAAGAATCTCAGACAATAGCATAGATCTAGGGGCAATCTTTTGAAATAGAAACATTCAAACTTCAATTAAAATTCATTCGCAGCTCCGATTTCAACAAAGTTACAGTCAAACTGACCAGCTCAACGAGATAGACTCGATGGTGACACCAAAATTGGTCCAATCTAAACCAAATCAAGGACTGATCAAGCTATTAAACCATTTTTGGAAGCTTTCGCACAATATTTGGAAGGTAAAAAAATTATCAAATTTGGCAAGCTTACAGTCAAATTTAACTTCACGACAAGTTGACTTCAACGAGCCTAAGATCGCTCAATTTTGACATTGTTAGAACACTTTAATATCCATCAACTGTTGTGTGATTGAGAGAATCTCTTTGGGTCATCTGATCAGAGTGGTTTAAGTTCCTTCATTAATTGCAACCAGGACTCTATAAATAGTGCCCAGTCCTTCTCCTGAGAGGGGACCTGGAGCTTAATTCTTAAAGAAGAATGAAGCTTGGTAAGAATTAAGCTTGGAGAAGGATCAAAGGTCTTGCATCACTTCTGAACTGACAATCTGTAACACTGTGACCAACTGTGGCCGCTGCAACCACTTTTGGCTAACTCGACGCAGCGTTGTGGCCAACTTTGACCATTGCCACCTCTGGCAACTCTGATCATCATCCTCTTTGGTTAATAATGGACGTCGTCTTTTCTAGTGCCTCCGGCTACCACTGCTCATACAACCTCCAATCACCATTGATCATCACTCACCAGCCACCACCGATCACTAACAACCACCACCACTCCTCATGATAGAGCACCATACAAAACAACCTAAGAAGTGATTCATCATCACTGACGTCTCATCAACACTGAAGACGGTCCATTGAAGCTTTTGACTAGTAGTCTCTACTGCGATCCTCCTTAGCACGCGGCTACAAGTTCATTTGTGAACAACATTATTGCTCAAGAGGTTGTTTAACCCTTCCCCGTTTGTGAGATAAGGGGTTATATCTGTAAAAACCAAATTATAATGAATTTCTTTTATTTGGCTAGAATCTGTAGTTTTTCCCTTTCTCAATTTTTCATGTAAAAATCTTCTGGTTTTCCTTCTTATCATTTATATTATCTGAGTTTATGTTGGTTTCTCGTGCAATGTTAAGACATTAGTTAAACACTCTATTGCTATGAATTCTCTTGCACTCATCAACTGTATACCACATCATCAGAACAAATAGTTCATGCACGTGCACACACATTAATGTGTGTGTGCACCTGAATTTTTCTCTTCTAACATTTGATGATAAATAAACGATTATATATTAATTAGATCGAATTTAAGAAATAACTCCCTATGTAAATTATAATGATACTAATGCATGTCTCAAAGATTGGATGATAGCATAAAATTTTCCATTATATGTGATGTATCATTCTCTTACCACATTTTATTTCTCATTAAAAAAAAACTACAAGAATATTTTCTTTACTCAAAATTTCATTAATTTCAATTCTAGAAACATCACAAACAACTTCAAGTGTTTTAAAAAAATCAAGTAGCCTACGGATAAAAGTAGAGGTAATTAAAATTTTAACCTGATCTAAAACTTTTATACTACATGAATCTAAAAGAATTCCTCTAATTTTAGATTATTGACCGCGACTTTATATATGCTTACAAATATAAAATAAATATGGACGTAATAAATATTCAATAATTGTAAAGTCACACTTATCAACACAAATATATGTATCGCTCAAGTAATATAGGACTCTAATGTAGTCCTAGATATCGATCCCATAGGGAGTAAGTTTAGAACTACGAACTAAGATTTTAGAAAAGCAATACTTTAATCACAACAACGAAATTCAATTTTTTTATCTGTCACTAATAGGCAATTGAAATAAATATGTAATTTTAATAACTATTAAATAACTAAATATACTAGTGCAGGTACGAATGTGATATTCAATATATAAGAAAGCATCCTTCTCCTTGTCAAGGAATTATAGTGAATGGATAAAGTGAATCAGTTCAAATTATATTGTGCCAAATAGGAGCATATCTATTCTTTACCCTTTGGTCCAGGCATAAAGAACATTGACTAATCCTACGCTTGTTTACTGAATCTGTGGCTAGGCTGGGTGGATACCGGCTCTCACTTTGGAGCTCCCACGTTCCCCTTCCCTGAGGGCTAACATCTACACTTTAGCACCCAAACGATAGGACCAAATTAGGGATTTTAGTCTGTCACTCTAAAATCTCCAATTCTACGCCCGATAATATTATTTCCCTATTTATTTGAACCCAACTTCCAAAGGCTTTGACCTCCCTGAATCTTGGATGTAATCTTCTTGACCTCCCTGAATCTTGGATGTAACATTCACTTTAGTTATAAAACTCAACATATTTTAACAAATCAATTGACCAGATTGAAAGTAAATTAAGATCGAAGTGAAAAGATCATCGTAATTTCTTAGGCATTTTCATGGCTTCACCAATTCAAATCACCATTTCACAAATCTCAAGACAAGGAGAAAGACAGAGAAAACTACTCTCATGGGGAAAACACAATAAAATTGAAGCCAATTTTTGATTAGGCATATCCTCAAGCTTCTCCTTACTTCCATAATTTTTTCTTCCTTTTCTCTTTTTCATTTGGATTGCTTTCAATCCTATATATTTTTCTTTTCTTTTCAGGGATTGTTTTCAATCCTTTCTTTTTCCTTTTTCAAGTGAGGATTACTATATCTGGATAGCCTTTAATGATT